GCACTTTGGGAAGCTCAGGTGGGTGGATCACTTGAGGTCAGGAGTTCAAAACCAGCCTGGCCAACACAATGACACCCTGTCTCTACTAAAAACACAAAAAAACTAGCTGGGTGTGGTGGTGGGCACCTGTAATCCCAGCTACATGGGAGGCTGAGGCAGGAGAATCCCTTGAACCCGGGAGGCAGAGGTTCCAGTGAGCCAAGATTGTGTCACTGCACTCCAGCCTGGGCAACAAGGCAAGACTCTGTCTCAAAAACAAAAATAAAGAGTCCACATCTTCACGAACCCTGAGACTCTGGAGTTGGGTATTGGCTTTTTAAGCCAACTTTTGTGGTAACTGTCTTTGATTGACTTACTAAAGAAGGAAATACATCCCAACCACTCAAGAGACTGGATATCCCTCAAGAATGACTTGGGTTACCAGCTATGCACCCTTGGAAGATGAATCAAGCCCTTCTCACTGGTTTTTCTTTGCAAATTCATTTGCTTTTATTTTTCTAATAACTATCAACTCTATTTTCCATGTTCTCAGGGCCCCTGGGTAGACAGACACAGCTTGATTTCAGAGCAGATATAGGCCAAGAAACTATGGCATTGAGTGTGCTGAGTCCAGACAAATGATATTTATATACACATCCAAATTTGAAGAGAAAATGTATTTCTTTAGGTTTCAAACACTGTAATAGTTATAAAACAAAAATAAAAACCTGTTGCAAAGTTCTAAATTGTATTCTTTGGCTTGGAGTGACCCTCGACTGAATTTTGGGGAAGAGAATGAGGAGGTGTTTAAACTTGTAGATTAACAGTGGAAATAAGAGTTACACCAACCTGCAGCTGGTGTAGTTTTTTTCTTCGGCTTTATTGAAATATAATTGACATAAATTGTACATATTTAAAGTAGATACACTTTGATAAATTGAAACATATACACGCCCATAAAACAACTGCAAGACAGTGAATATATCCATCACCTTCATAAGTCATAAGCTTCCTGCTTGAGGATCACTCCTTTCTGCCCCACGTCCAGCAATGACTGATCTGTGGCTGACACTGTAGTTTAGTTTGCATTATCTAGAGTTTCTCTGAATGATTTTGACTTAGTTTCATCAGCACCACTCTATAGCCTTTTGAACCCTTTTTGAGACAGTTTTTTGCTCATGGCATTCAGGCTGGAGTGCAGCCATGCCATCTTGGCTCACTGCAACCTCTGCCTCCTAGGTTCAAGCGATTCTCCTGCCCCAGCCTCCCGAGTAGCTGGGATTACAGGCACCTGCCACCATGCCAGGCTAATTTTTGTATTTTTTGTAGAAATGGGATTTCACCACGTTGGCCAGGCTGGTCTTGAACTCCTAACCTCAGGTGATCTGCCCGCCTCAGCCTCCCAAAGTGCTGGGATTACAGGCTTGAGCCACCGCGCCCAGCCTGAACCTCTTAAGATCAAGTAGTTCACAGACTCCTCCCTTCAGTTTAGATCAATTCTTAAAGCAGAGATTACAGACAAACAGCCAAAAAGTTGATGGAAGCCACAAGAAGGTTTTGCTTGGCAGAGTATGTTTAAGTTTGAATTAGTTGCCAACATTAAAATCAAGAAATGTCTGTCTTGAAAATGACTGTCCTTTCAATACACCTCAATTTTAAAAGGCCAAACACCATGCCTCATGCCTGTAATCCCAACCCTATGGGAGGTCAAGACAGGAAGACTGCTTGAGGCCAGGAGTTCAAGACTAGCCTGTGAGGCATAGTGAGACCTGTCTCTACAAAAAAATTTAAAAGTTAACTGGCTGTAGTGGCGTATATCGGTAGTCCTAGCTATTTGGGAGACTCGGGGCAGGAGGATCACTTGAGTCCAAGTAGTTGAGTGTGCAGTGAGCTAAGATCATCACTGCACTCCAGCCCCAGCAGCTGAGTAAGACCTGTCTAAAAAAGAAAAAAATACTATCTGGCCTTACCCGGCCTGAGTTTCTGCTTGGTAACAATGTGCAAGAGCTGCTGTATTTTACTGCAATCACCACCTCTCTCTGAGTCTGGCAAGTGCTAATATTGTTTCTGTACATTATTTACAGCAAAGGAGAAAATAACTTCTTTTTTTTTTTTTTGAGATGGAGTCTCACTTTGTCGCCCAGGCTGGAGTACAGTGGTGCAATCTCAGCTCACTGCAGCCTCCGCCTCCCGGGTTCCAGCAATTCTCCTGCCTCAGCCTCCCGTAGCTGGGAATACAGGTGCATACCACCACACCTGGCTAATTTTTGTATTTTCAGTAGAGTTGGGGTTTCACCATGTTGGCCAGGCTGGTCTTGGACTCCTGACCTCAGGTTATCAGGCTCCCAAAGTGGCTGGGATTACAATCCTGAACCACTGAATCCGGCCAAAAGCGACTTCTTTTTTTTTTTTTTTTTTTTTTTTTGTTAGGGGTTTCGCTGTTGTTACCCAGGCTGGAGTGCAATGGCGCGATCTCGGCTCACTGCAACCTCCGCCTCCTGGGTTCAGGCAATTCTCCTGCCTCAGCCTCCTGAGTAGCTGGGATTACAGGCACGCGCCACCATGCCCAGCTAATTTTTTGTATTTTTAGTAGAGACGGGGTTTCACCATGTTGACCAGGATGGTCTCGATCTCTTGACCTCGTCATCCACCCGCCTCGGCCTCCCAAAGTGCTGGGATTACAGGCTTGAGCCACCGCGCCCGGCCTCAAAAGCGACTTCTTAACTCATGTTTCTGTCAAATATTCTTGCCTGTTCTCATTACCCAGCTGCCCCCTCTAGGCCATTGTTTAGCCTTCTGCTACACCCTCTACCCCTCACCCCATGCATACATTTTTCTTATGTTCTTCATCTCACCTAGAACACCCCTTTTATTATTTTTTGAGACAGAGCTTTGCTCTTGTTGCCCAGGCTGGAGTGCAGTGGCATGGTCTTGGCTCACTGCAACCTCAGCCTCCCGGGTTCAAGCAATTCTCCTGCCTCACCCTCTGGAGCAGCTGGGATTACAGGCATGTGCCACCACGCCTGGCTAATTTTGTATTTTTAGTAGAGACAGGGTTTCTCCATGTTGGTTGGGCTGGTCTCCAACTCCCGACCTCAGGTGATCCGCCTGCCTCAGCCTCCCAAAGTGCTGGGATTACAGATGCGAGCCACTGCACCTGGCCTAGAACACCCTTTTTATATGGAAACCTATCAAGGCCTGATTTATATGGCGCTTCCTCAAGAAATTTCCAGAATGCTTTTCTAGAAATAATCAGGGCCTTGGTTTCAGGACACCTGGATTCCAAACCTTTTTGAGCCTCAGTTCCATCATTATACTAAAGTTGAGTATCCCTTATCCAATATGCGTCGGACCAGAAGTATTTCGAATTTGGGATTTTTTCAGATTTTACTGGTTGGGCGTCCCTAATCTGAAAATCCGAAATCCAAAATGCACTGCTCTTAAGTCTGTCACTGAGCCTTGGGAAATATTTAACATCCTAACAGCCCTAAACCAATGCTCAATTAGTACAACAATTTACAATCTTCTCTACCCACAGCCTGATGCCAGGCTCTGGGACTAGAATATTTTGCCAACAGTTCTTGCAAAATTCACTGACATGTAAGCAAATAGTAATTTCAACACCTCACTGCTAATGCTGTAACAGAACTCTGCAGACCTAGGGAGCAAATACAGATTGCAGAGCACTGGGAAGGCTCTGCAGTGACCTTTGAACCGGGCCTCAAAAGATTTTGAGTTTGACAAAAGCCAAACCTCTTAGGCTTCAAATTCCAGGCACAAGGATTGTTGGGTTTGATTTCATTATTCAGAGGCAACGGGGATACAGAATTTCTGATCTCACGTGTAGAGAATTGTGGTTTTTTTCTACTTTAACCCCAGTGAGACTTTGTAGAGTGGGGCAGTCAGAGAAAAGGCTCTAGAATATGCCTGAAGCCTTAACTCAGCACCTTCCTGAGGAACTGACTGCCAAAATGATAATGGAGAGGGGAAAATATGACTTACGTTCACAAGTTACCTTGACTGCCTCAGGAAAACCTGCTGTGATAGTGTTTCTTCTGGGTAAAAGACAGGGTAAGCCGGGCCGCGGTGGCTCACGCCTATAATCAATCCAAGCACTTTGGGAGGCTGAGGCGGGTGGATCACGAGGTCAAGAAATTGAGACCATCCTGGTCAACATGGTGAAACCCCCTCTCTACCAAAAATGCAAAAATTAGCTGGGCATGGTGGGGCGCGCCTGTAGTCCCAGCTACTCGGGAGGCTGAGACAGAATTGCTTGAACCCAGGAGGCGGAGGTTGCGGTGAACCGAGATCGCGCCATTGCACTCCAGCCTGGGTAACGAGCGAAACTCCATCTCAAAAAAAAAAAGGCAAGCCGAGAAGTTACCTGGGTGCTTGTGTCAGACTTAACAATTTTGAATCCGTTTTAACCACTCGCTATCGATGGGACCTTGGAGAAGTTACCTAGCCTTTCTCTTACTGTCCTTTTCCGTAAAATGGGAATAACAGTATTTATTTCAATGAGTGGTTATGAGAATGAAGCTATTGGATATCGGAAAGCACGCAGTATGCGCTCAAGGAAACTGCTATTGTTATTAAACACCTCCTTTGGAAGAAGGACATTGAGGCCCAGGGAGAGAAAAGAACGTCCAGCCACACTGCAAATCCGTGATGAAGCTGGGACTGGAGTAGGGGTCTCCTGGGCATCACCCCAGGACTCTATCCCTCTTCCCCAGTCCTCGGAATTCCTGGATGGAGTCACATTTGTTCAAGGCCAGGGAGGAAGGCTTGACGGAGGCCTGCAGGAAACAATAGCCAGGCGCAAGGCTTTAGGAGTTGAAGCATAGCTTCTGCGAGATAGAAACCAGGTTGACCTGCGCATTTTTTTGGACTCCCAGGACTACAAACCGTCTGCACCTTGGGAGCTGCTGCCAGCCCCAGCGCACGGAGGGACGCGTAGTCCTTTCGCTGCCCCGCCCTCACGACGCGCCCGCCTCCACTGCCGCCCTCGCTTCGTCCTTCCCAGCAAGCTCCGCGCCGGCGCCGGCTATTGATTGGCTGCGGTGGGAGCAGGCTGCTCGCCGGCAGTGGTTACTCGGGGTTTCCGGTGCGAGGCCAGAGCTGGGGAAGTCGTCGGACGTTGGCTGTGAGGTGCGTGCCGCGGCGAGCGGTGGGAGAGAATCGGAGGGTGTGCGGACCGGGATGTTCTCGGCCTGTGGGAAAATCACGGCGACTCCGCGCGTGGGCAGGGGGGCTGTCTAGGGCGTGTGCGCATGCGCGGGCGTCCCTCGCGGCTGGAGGGCGCGCCGGGCGTGGGTGGCTGCGCGCTCGGGGGGCGCACGTGGGGCCTGAGGGGCGGGGGCGGTGCCGGGACTCCGGCGTTCCGCCACGTCAGTCTCCGGTCCCGAGCCAATCCCGCGCTCGGCCTGCCGTGAGGGGGTTGGTTGTGCTGGGAAGTGGCTCCGAGGAGAAAAAGAGGCCTCTTCATCCGCTGCGGGAGCTGCGCCCCGAAAGCCTGCCCCGGCACGCCGGGCTCCCCTGACCCGCCAAGACTGGAGAGCCGTTGGCGCCCTCCGCCGAGGCCGGCCGGTCCGTTTAAGCAGCTTTGGGCGCCTGCTGTGGGGATTTCTGATCCAGACTGCGAAGAATTTCCAAGTCTGGAAAACTGCAACTCTGTTTGTTTCCAAAGGATCTCCTTCTGACCCAGCATCGCTCATCACAATGAAGAACCAAGACAAAAAGAACGGGGCTTCCAAACAATCCAACCCAAAAAGCAGCCCGGGACAACCGGAAACGGGACCCGAGGGAACCCAGGAGCGGCCCAGCCAGGCGGCTCCTGCGGCAGAAGCTGAAGGTCCCGGCAGCGGCCAGGCTCCTCGGAAGCCGGAGGGTGTGTGCCAGCTCTGCATTGCCGGCGGGCAGGGGGAGGAGCTGTGGGCCTGGCCTCACTTCTGGACTTAGAGGCCGAGGCCAGGTTGTCCAGAAGGAGGAGATGTAGGATGAGAGGGCAGTGCTGGGGCCGCGGTCCCTCCTGTGTCCTGGCGAGCCGGCGAGCCGTCCCCTCTAAGCACAGGAAGAGTTCTCTTCTCTGGAGAGGAGCTCTGACAGGATTAAGTCAGGTGGCAGCCAAATGAGGCACCCAGTCAGGAAATCCAGGTCCTGTTAGAAACACCTCAGCCGCCAACAGCTAACTGCCCTTCCTGTTTTGAGGCATTTCTAGAACAATCTGAATGGCAAGAAATGGTTGGTGAGGGGGGAAGGAGATGGACTAGAAGTTGCTTCATGCCAGCCCTGTGTGCTGATGCTTTACATACTTTTATGTTCGTAACCAACATGTTCGGGTGATAGAAATAGTTGTGTCATTTTACAAGTAAATAGACTTAAAGAAGTTAAGCATCCATCACCTGAGTTTGGCAAGAAAAAGAAAGTTGCCGGGCGCTGTGGCTCACGCCTGTAATCCTAGCACTTTGGGCGGCTGAGACAGGCGGATCACCTGAGGTCAGGAGCTCAAGACCAGCCTGACCAATATGGTGAAACCCCGTCTTAAAAAAAAAAAAAAGTTAAGCAACGATGACTGTAGTTTCTTTTAAAAGATGTTTCGAGGCTGGACGTGGTGGCTCACGCCTGTAATCCCAGCACTTTGAGAGGCCAAGGCAGGCGAATCACCTGAGGTCAGGAGTTCGAGACCAGCCTGACCAACATGGAGAAACCCTGTCTCTACTAAAAATACAAAAATTAGCTAGATGTGGTGGTGCATGCCTGTAATCTCAGCTTCTCGGGAGGCTGAGGCAGGAGAATTGTTTGAACCTGGTAGGCAGAGGTTTCAGTGAGCTGAGATTGTGCCACTACACTCCAGCTTGGGTGACAGAGCGAGACTCCATCTGAAAAAAAAAAGTTTCAAATCTATATTCTGACAGGAACTAGATTTGCTGAATGATGCTCCATTCTTGCTTCTCAGTTTCCATGAAAAAAGAAAAGTTAGGCAACATTTAACTCAAACTGATGAGTTTGGGTGTGAAAAATCCCAACCAGTGGTATAATCGTCGTCTTTCTCATCCTCTTCTGCTTTAGGGGCACAAGCCAAAATGGCTCAGTCTGGGGCCCTCTGTGATGTCTCTGAGGAGCTGAGCCGCCAATTGGAAGACATACTGAGCACGTACTGTGTGGACAATAACCAGGGGAGCCCAGGCGAGGATGGGGCACAGGGTGAGCCGGAAGATGCAGAGAAGTCCCGGACCTATGTGGCAAGGAATGGGGAGCCTGAGCCATCTCCAGTAGTCAATGGAGAGAAGGTACCCTCCAAGGGGGAGCCAGGCACAGAAGAGATCCGGCCAAGTGATGATGTGGGAGACCGAGACCACCGAAGGCCACAGGAGAAGAAAAAAGCCAAGGGTTTGGGTGAGCAGAGAGTGGCTCTTTGTGCAGCTGGTGAGGGGAGGGAATTTGGACTTGATGTTCTCTGGGCCAGTCTGTTCTGCCAGGATTCAGAGGAAATGGTACTTCTCAGAGCAGCAAGTCACCCTAGTCTAATCAAAGCCAGGGATGTGGGAGTCACGCATAGAAAGATGCAGGGGTTCCCAGCACAAGGCCTTCTGGCTTTTGGAGCAGCAAGGGGTTGACGTGAGACCTGCTCTGTCTTTGAGACAATGGAGAGCAGGAGGTCCGGGTAGCTTCCTGTGCCAGCCAGTACTACCTGCCTTGTGACCTTGGGTGTGCCCCTTCTCCTGTCTGGGTCCTAGTTTCTATTTCTGTGTAAACTGTAAAGTAAGAAAATCAGACTAGCCTAGAATTGGAAACCCAAATGTCTGCATAAGCTGGGCTGCCTATGGGGCTCCATGAATATAGAGCCTACTTTAGCCAAAGGCTTTACTGCTATTTAGTTAGTTGCTCTTAACTAGCCAACTGAGAACAGGCAAAACTACAGGCTGGGTGCAGCCAGCCTTTGTTTTGTTTTTTTTTTTTTTTTTTTTTTTTTTTTTTTTTTTT